TATATATATATATATATATATCTACAATTAGATCCGATGTACTAATTCGGCGGATCAAATTTACCAAATGCTTTATCTTTTTTGGCAGCGTTACTACATTCCATAAGAATAAAATAATTTAATAATGTTGAGGATGATCTTACTGCATGGCCCACACAATCTGCATTTGGAAACGCATGAAATATAATTTTTTTATTTATAATTCAGCTGTATTTTTTCCATTGCGATAATGCTTTATATTTTTCTGCTGAAGATGACTCAAAACAGAGTCAAAACAATAAGAATTAATTAAATTTATTTATATATTTATATTATTATACTTTATAGTAGTAGTATTTATTTCAGCTATTAATTTAGCCACGAAATGAATTTACATTAACATCTTAACTCATTCATACCAACACACATTCCTCACGCACATCCCATTCGACCTCTTTATCCAAGTCTACCTTCACCTTCTTATTCCTAACCTTCTTCTCCTCTCTTGCCTTTTTAATTCTTTCCAGCCAGATCCTTTTACCTTTGCTAAGTTTCTCCGAAACAACATCAAAATAATCAAAAAACTCTATTTTTACACTTTTCAGATTTTTACAATTTTTGATCAAGTGCTCCAAAGTATCAAGTTCCTCCTCACAAAACGTACACATTCTTTCTTTCTGCCCTGTCCAGAACTTATTAGCTTCTTCTACATTTCCACATCTGGCCTTAGCAAGTCTTTTAACATCCTTAAAACTGCTTTTACTTCTAAAGTAAACTGGTAGATCCACCGTATTAATCATCTCATACTTCGCATTATATCTTGACTTTCTTATATAATTATACCTCTCCTGTCTCTCTATCTCTACCTGTCTTTCTATCACAAAAATGCTGACTTTCTCATTGCTTCCACTACTAAGCTCTAAACCTAATTGTCTATAGCCAATAATTGTCTTCGCGTTCAGATATACACGTCTCATTGACAAGCTTTTCCTATCTAATCTACCTTCTCGCTTTTCCAACAATTTTTTATCAACACTCTCCCATTACTATTGATTAGTTTTTCTTCAAATTTTAAAGCTCTTTTCACTGTGCTACACCAAAACTTGTTTGTCTTGATTCCTTCTCAAACAATATAATCCGGGGTCCAGCTATCTCTAGCTCTAAACACCATTTAATGTATTTCAGCTTGATACTTTCCACAAGTTTGTCGAAAAACCACTTGTACTTGTGAAAGTTCTCTTTGAATAAACGCTATCCCACACATTACGCACCGCAATATTCACTTTAACTTCCATTTTTTTTACATGTTGTCCTCAGTCTCCATTTTTTCTGAAGGTGAATCCTAAATAGCAAAATTCTTTTACTTCGTCAATTATTTCTGTGCTCCATTTCCAGGTTCTATTTTTTCTCCTATTGCTGTGCTCTTCAAAAATCATTATTTTCGACTTACCACAGTTTACTATTTTATTATTAAATCTTTATCTTTCATATATCTTTTCAGTCTTGCTTTTCAGTCATGCTCTTCTCCATTGCTTCTTCATTTTTTACAAGCAGGACCAGGTCATCTGCGTATGCCAACGTCCAAAGACGTTCCTGACCCCTTTGACTCCTCCAATGCCGCTTCTTTTCATGTTGTTTTCCGCTATATAGATCGCGAATAAGAGAGGGCTAATGGAGTAGCCCTGTCGGATTTTGACCTTTCATTTGTCAGAACGTTTCCGATTTTACACCATTCACTACCATTTTTGCCTTTGATTCTTCATAAATTTCTATTACTCTTCCGATTAGATCTTTTCTTACATTCAGCATTTCCATTATTGTCCACAGCTTTTCCCGTTTACTTTATCAAACGCCGCCTTTAAGTCCACAAAAAACGCGCATATCTCCGTCCTCCTTCAACTCTTTTTCTACAATGTGTTGTAGCACATAAATGTTAACCATCATCGACCTTTCTTCACGAAAGCCTGCTTGCACTTCAGGAAGAATTTGTTTGCTTTCAACATCATTTTTCAATGATCTTTCCGTGAGAATGTTGGTATAAATTTTGTATGCTGTATTTAGCAGAGTAATAGTTATGTAGTTTCTCACGTCATCTTTGCAGCCTTTTTTCCGTAATGGGAATATAAACCCTTTCCTCCATTCTTCAAGGTATCCTTCACCTCGACAGACTTCTTTCAAAATTTCTTTTAGTCCGTCTCTGGCTTCACCTACACTGTAAAGCCAGGCTTCCCCTGGAATGTCATCCGCTCCTGCTGCTTTCTTCGTTTTTATCCTCTTGATGTGCCTTTCTATTTCTTCGTTCTCTAACTCTGCTTCTGTGTCTTCTTCTTGATCTCTTTTGCGGTTTGACGCTGGTCAAAACTTCCCATCTTTCCCTCCAGTATGTCCATGAAGTATTCCTTCTATTCGCTTATACTAATCTTACTACTAATATCGTCTTTTTCTTCTTCTATACTTATTTATAACTTTCCACGCATTTGTTTTATTTTTTATCTTATGTATTTTTAGCTCTACTTTTCGCTTATAATCTCCTACTTTTTTATTGCAAATCTTTAAACTTAACTTTACTAGGTATTCTGTCCTCGAGGTTGTACCTGTCTTAAATTTCCTATATATTTTCTTCATCTTTCTTTTCATTTTTGAGCATTTTCTATCCCACCATATCCTAGTTTTCTACTTCTAACTTTTTCTTACAAAAAGTCTCTTTGCATATCTTGCTTAACTCCTTAAACCTTTCTTTCACGTTGTATTTAACTAAATTACAATTTTTCATCTTTGTTTGATACAATTCTATAGCTTCATTATTCCATAATATAATATCTTCTTATGTCTTCTCTACTTCTTGTATTAATTCTATTTCTAACTTTAATCTCTAACGAAAGATGACTCAATACGATTTCCTATTTCAAAATTCGTGATTCTATCCCAAGCATCTCAGTTCACTAGTGCGTAATCAATGATCAATTCCTCCCTTGCTCTCACATACGTATACTCTCCCTTCCAATCACCATCTATATTATCGTTTAGAATCCCCCAACCTCTATCATTTATCAGATTTATTAAAATTTCCCCATCCGCGTTTAAAAACCGATCTTTAAACTTTCTTTAATATAAATCTTCCAAGAAGTGACAGACGTCCTTTTTGTCCTATTCTGGCGTTAAAATCTCTGCAATAAGTAAGTTTGTGGAATCGGTTTCACATATTCCTTCATTGAAAAAGTTCTTTAGCCGTATTTTTCATATTCTGCCTATATTACATAAATCTTTCAAGGTTCCCTTTCTATCTTTAGACTACATTCGACCAAATTTTTTAATTAGTTTTAACTTTCCCTTTTCAACATTATTTATTCAATCATCAACTTTAGACTAACGCATGCTCTACCGTCTTTTTGCTATCCTCCCTAACTTTTATTAATAGTTCTTTCTCTCTTTTCTCTATATAATTCGTTTACCTCTTTATTAATTCTCTCTTCTCTTGTTATCAATTCCTATTTTAAATTGTCTATTTTTAAACCTACCAATCGCTTAACGTCTTTACCTAAAGTTTCAAACTCTTTACGTAGTAATTTATTTTCTTCTACTATCTCTCTTATAATGTTTACCAACGCTTTCACTGTATTATTTAAATTATCATTTTCTAGCGTTTCGATGTCCATCTTGCCTTTATCTTCAAGATCCATCTTTTGTCCTCTACTATATCTTAGTTAGTCTACTATATCTTTCAATTATACTTGTCGCATCCGGTGCCGAATTACTTCTCTCCCTCAGTAATCTTTCGGAGTTAGTGGGCCTTCCTCGTTTTGCCGGCGTCAATACAACCTACTTACCCTCCGTCGGTTTGTCTGACATGTTGTGTTTTACTTTAGTTCTTATTATCGCCGCTTAATCCCCACCTATTCCCTGTTGGACATACGCGATTGTGACGCCGTCGACGACGTCAACGATTCTGCCATTATATCTAACCTCGCTTCCACCAGATTTCTCGCTCCTTCTCTCCGCTTACCCCTTTTCTTTAATTTGCGACTTCTTTAATTATCTCCTAAGATAATTTATCTTATTCCGTCTCCGCCTCTGTAAGGTTTTTCCACAACCACTCGTCGCCACCCATCCTAAAAAGCATCTAACCTCCTGCGCCGCATTCACACGCTCCACACACTCACGCGCTCTCTAACCGAATCCTTATTGTACTTATATTATTGTGCAACTTAGTTTTAGCGCTGATTTCTACCGCCTCGTGAATTTATATTTATTTATTATTGAGCCAATTTTATTTGTTGTTAAATTAATAATATAATAATTTTTATTTAATAACATAATTATTGTAATTTATTTAGCTCTTTTATAATCTCTTTCTCTCTGTCCTTCTCTTTTTCTTATTATGTTTATACTCACTTATTATGTTTAGACATTATCATTATGTATATGTTACGTTAGAACCCCAGAAATCTTTATTTCACGAGAATTAGAACGTGCATGAAAGGGGCTTGGATTAACGTTTCAGAAGATGCCTTATTGCGCGTATCACAAACGCACTCGAATTAAATTTCAAAATAGAAGTCTATGGCTGAACGCGATGACTCTGCTCTGAAATAGTGAGCCCGTTGGTTCATTTTTAAGTCAAGGAAATTATTCTTTATAGCCTAGGATAGGAACGTATGACCTTATAAGAGGAGGAATGCAATCAAGAATTGGAATAAATTCATTCAATTAATCTTACATAACTTTATATTTAATAAATTCTATTATAACATAATGTACATAATTTAAATTTCTTAAAACGAAACTAAGTTTATTTACATATCGTCTAGTTTAGTGTAAAATGTTATGTTGTGTTGAGTTGTATTTCGCGATTTTACATTATTTCGGAAGTTTCTGAACAGGATCTTGAGAGGTGTAATTATAATGTTGATCTATCTTCTGTTCATTATTCACATAAGTTCTTTCAATTAAGCTGGAGAACCAAACGTTTGTGCACATAAATTGTGATATTATGCTTCTAAATCAGGAGAGGAAGAGGCTAGTTCGACGTATAAGAAACAGATTGAAACGGAGAAGGGTTCATGGGTTTTAGGATTTAGGATTATAATTCTTTGATTATAGGGGAATATCTAGAAAAGTAGGATCTCTGAATATTTGAAACTCGAAAGAATTAAGAAATTGGAGATTCGGAGGAAATAATTCTTCTAAATCATTTGAATTAAAGAGATTAAAATGAGATATGTAAATTTGTTCATTTGATGAGGGAGAAACAAATGATTATTTTCAGAAGGCTCGAAAGTGGGTGACTAAATAGATTTATGTAAGAAGAATGGTTACTTTGAGAGCGTTCAGGGAAAGTTGACAGAATGTTAACAGGTGAGATATTATCTAGGTTTATGGTTAGAGAATAAGAAATTTTAGGAGGAGGAGAGATCAATTCCAAATGAGAAACTGAAATTATGGAATCAGAAGAGTTTCTAAATTCATTTTCAATTTGATTTTCTATTTGTCTTATAATTTGATATGAATACATTGAATCTTTTCGAGGTTTTGACTGAACAGTTTGAAGATCGCGTTTTGGAGCTTCTCTGCCATTTATTTTTCAAAACTTTATTTAATCTTTGGGAGCGCACTAGAATTTTTTTGGAATTTTTCAAATAAATTATCTAATGAGTTGCTTCGAACTTATTTTTTGATAACTTATAGTCTCGTTTACTTTGCAGCCTAATCCAAGAATTTAACCAGGAAGAATGTTTCTTTGTCAAATGTTTACATTGGAAAAACCGCTCTTGGTAATCACTTCACTTAAATATGCATTCCCGAAGCAGATTACTAATTAAATAATCTTTCTAATTGAATCCGACCGCTGTGCATTTCGTACATCTTAATTTATATTATGAGTTTCTTTGTCTTTGATGGGAATAATTAGGGGATGAGGGAAAATATGGGAATCAATTGTTCCTGAGTATATATATAGAGTGATTCTATTATTAGCTTGAAAATACTCTATCGTCGATCTCTCGCACCCTTGACGGCTCTGAAGTCTCTGAATCTTTTGCTGATTTCCGGCTTAAAGGAGAAATTGTCTACTTCAGTTCGTCGTGAACTCAATGCGGTTAAAACTGCCGTCAGGGAAGACCACTTACACAGCGCCTAGTTATGTAATGGCATTATTTACGCTACTCCACCATTTACGTAGGCGCTACTCCACCACCTCGCTGATTCGCCTATGCCATGGCGGTCATCTGGAATCTATCATTGCCGGAGCCCCGCTAGCTTCCAATTCTCATCAGGCGCCGCCTCTGTCTACCACTGCCGCCTCACTTCTGAGTGGCCCTCCAGCTAGCCCTGCAATCACGTTTTCTCGCGGCGTCCCTGTGACTCTTGCAGGCAGTGGAGAAACTGAGACCCGGATGCCACCATCACCATTACTACCGTCAGTTGTTAAAAATCACAGGACGACCACTGCGGGACGTGATGCTATCTCTAAAACATCTCATCGAAGAATCTGAAGATGTGACGCTCGGTTACGCGTGCTTGCCACAGACTATTACGCCTAGGCCATGTTAATTGCCAATCTCTCTTCCTCCATTTCCTCGAATTCTCTGACTACTTTTTTCACAATCATTTTGATAATACAAGTATTATTATGATGCGACTTGCCTCATATTCTTGACTTTCGTTTGAATTAACTAATTTTCACCTAATCATACTTGACAGAGGAGGTATAGAAGGCGGAGGGATTGGCCTATACATCCGCAATAACATCGGGGCGAAATTCTTTAATTAAGATAAATTTCTTAATTCTAATACCTAAACAGTGAATTGTTGTTTACTTTCGAGCTCATGCGAATAGATTCATGTTTCATCCCCAGTAACGCTGTTGTAGACCAAATTTGACCGACCTCGGTTGAATTTCTTGAACATTTCTTTGCTCCATTTAACACTAGCCTGTTTTTGAGCTTCGTTCAAATTGGGATCCAATGACTGCAAAGTTTCCGTACGCTCAAGTGATCATGCAAAATCGTATGAATTGCTTTCATGTCAATGCCTAAGGATGCCTGAATCTCGCGGTGTTATATGCCGGTCTCGCTCAATCATTTCACGCACAGCATCAACATTAGTGGCAACAACAGACGTGGACGACTTTCATGGAATTCATCACTAAGAAAGGTACGTCCACGCTGGAATTCGGCAAATCAATTATAAACAGTCCTATTGGATGGTGCTTCATCCCCAAAAGCCAAAGTCGATCGATGCATTGTTCGGAATTAGATTACATTCGTAATTGTAAAAAATCATTGCCCGAACATTTTCACGCGAAATTTCCATTTTCTTACAAAATAACTTCTTTTAAAATATTATGCAAACAAAACTAGTTGGCTTGGGTACAACTTTCAATTGAATTAAAAACGGATCTAATTTTACGGATATGATAGTAGCAGAACGTTGGCGCCACTGGAAGTACTAGATTACAGAAACTTTTCCAGCAGCCTACGTATACATCTTATTTTATCAGAGAATATAAAATTTTTAAAATAATTCCGAAGAAGAATCTAATTTAATCTAATCTAATAACAGATGAAAAGTCATTGAAAAATAACAACAATTATTTGAGTATAAGATTTTAGAAGCAAGTTTTTTTTCATATTATAAGGTTAAGGATCTAATATTATATCTGTTATTATCCTAGCAGAACGGATGTTTCTTTTCGCTCGACGATGAAGTCGTTTTCATATTTTAAAAAGCTAACATAATTCTTTGACGCGTCTTCTAGTTGGTTAGAGAAAGGTTTCGCTTCTGATGACTATCCGTCAGGATTATCGTCTACGAGCAAAACGAAGGACGAGAATATCAGGCGTGAATCACGATGATTGATGTCAGTCTAATATGGATTTTCACGTGTTTGCACAACCAGCTGATAACCCCTTAAAGTCGACCCATCATTTTTCCGTCAAAAATTAGCTCGATCCGACAGGTTCGCTTCATCTCTCAAGAAAGTAGCTGCTATAATGAAATTACGGAGCGGTTTAATCTGTCCGAGCAAATAAATGGAAGATCGAATTCATTACGAGTAACTATTCGTCACATGCTTGTGGATAATCAATTTATGTTAATTTTTTTCAGAGTAAGTTGAGCTTAAAAACTTAATTAAGTTAAAAATCGTTCGTAAAAAATTTATCTCGAATTTATTTTTAAAATTTTTTACATCATTTTTAATACTAATTAAAAGATAATTTAGCTGTATAATATTAATTAAAAATAAATAGAAGAAAAGATGGTATGACCAGTGATATTGTAGCCTCTCTCAATATCTTCGCTATTAAGTGGCGAATTCTAGCAATTACTTATGGAATGATTTGTTCAATAGCTCGCTGTTACACCATGACGCTAATATACCAATAATCAATAGCCAGCATTTATAACGCATTTTTTTATTTCCAAATATTATATAATATTTCGATACATTCTAAGGGACGTTTCCAACATTTCTGAGATATATTTTAGCATTTAATTACTTCTACTTCCTTATTTTGCTTTAAACTTGAGCGTATTATTACATGAATATATAGTATGTATTTTTGAATGTTGTTTACTATTATTATATTTAACATTTTATTTTGACTGTATATATTTTGAGTTAGGATAACTCCGGTATATACGCCGCATCTATTAAAAACTTAATTTATTTAGTATTATT